ACAGAGAGACACGCGAAACAGGATTTACCAGCATGCGTCGCGCGATATGGTCCCGCGCCGCCATTGTGCAATCGCGAACGATATACGTATTCCATGGTATCGATGAATCTCGGCGTGGGTGGCTGGCTGTTCCAAATATGAAACGTAGGAGAATATAGAATTCCGACCGACTGGACTGTTGTCCCACTTAAATCGATTAGGTCTCTTCGAAACAGCCCGAATGTGTCGCCATGCGATTAAGGAAGAAAAAAAGTAAAGACTTCCAAGGGGAAAAGATGAATCCTGAAATCACAACCTGTGCATTTCTTGGAGGTATCGATCCAACTGGATATTGGATTGTTACACAGTGTTTCGGTCCATAGAAGTCAGCCATGGAATCTCTGTATTGGCTGTAGTTCACAACGGTGGCAGTGATATTGGATCGTTCTGGAGTCTTGCCTCGAAGCGAGGGCCTCGGTTTTGCCAGACGTTTGATTTAACGACAGCAATCTCCGATCACACCTCGAAATTGGATCGTGGAAGACCTCTTACGTATTTCGATCACTTCGAGAATTCAACAGTGAACTGCTTGGGAGACCATCGGACGGTCGACCACTTTGAATTAGATTAAGAAACTACTTTTATAACGACTTTTAGTCATTGGTATAACCTAATATACCCGTCCCTCGATTTACAAGGAGTGTTTGGTCCATGTGAGTCTTCTTTATGCGGATGAAAACCGTCTAAATGGAGGCAGTATAAGTTACAAAAATATTTATTTATTATTTCATTAAAAAAAAACTAAATGGAACAAATACTCCGCGTAAATCGAGGTAGTGTATGTACACGTGAACACGTGTTCCGTGATCAACGACCAGGCAATGTCGTTTTCCTTGTTTAATTCGCCGATACTGTACAGTTTCGTGGGATCGATGGAAACGCAGCTGTCGCGAGAAATCAAGTTGCCTACAATTACCACCGGGTTGCTCGTGAAATCGTGAATCATTCGATCTTTGTTACGAGCGTCTTCTACCGCAACGTTCGTGGAATTCTCTGGATGTCGAACGGTTTTTTCTCAAGCTGTTTCCATGAATCTGTACACGATCATTGATCGCTGCGTTCCGAACGTGATACGACCACACTTCCTGCATACTTTATTGCAATTGCGTGCACGTGCCGCCAGGTTCTATTGGCGGTACATTTGCATAGCTTCGAATAAAGATATCCAGTTGTGAGACACGACGTCCGATGACAGTTTCATCGCGACAGTAAATAACATAGAGGGAGAAGTGAAATAATACGGGTGGTACCATTAGGAACAGAGTCAACGTTAATTTCCTCGGGGTCAGTAGTACGTAATTTATTTCAATGGAACGACAGACTGCACTCCGTTTTCATATTTAATGACCCCCATCTGTGAGTCAGCATTCATTTACAATCAGAGCCAGCTTTTTTATAATATACACATGAATCTGTTCATAATTTTTTGGTTCTTAAAGATTTAATACACCCGTTTACGGATTGGTAGTTACAACTGTTGCGGTGGAAAATACGGTAATTGTACACAATTGCAAAATCACATTGAGAATTCTTGGGTAGATTAATACCGATTGCGTTTGCAGAAGCGTTTTACGGTTGTAGGAGTGCCTTTTATTCTCGATACCGCCACCTCCATTCTCTTGCCACATATTTCGTCCCGAATACTCGCAGGTATGCACTCACGCTACTTAATAATTAATCTATTTTCGCACGGGAGTCTTTCGTACACCTGTCTCCCGGTGATTCACCTGGTTCGCCGTACACCGAGATTTCATCACCGTACGTTCGCAACGCATTCCGAGCGATCTATAAAAGATTTCATCTATACCGAGTCTGTGTAATACATATAACCCTCTTCAATTAATCCGTATTTCGTCAGCTTCCTTTCCAACCGAGCACATCTAGGAAGCAGTTCAAATTTCATTCCAATTATTCACGAGAAGTTCCACGAAAACTTTTACAGGCTGCATCCTCCTTTACTAACGAGGCGGCGCATAAAACTCCCCTGTAACATATTCTTAAAAAATTCTACTCTTCATAGAAACTGTCAATGACAATGATTCCGTAAAAAATTTATTTCATTACAATAAACAGAATTTGTTTTGTACAGCCTTTACAACTACATTCCAGTCTACGTGTTCTCCAGAATATCTATTTTTAAATGCGCAATATTTCCCGAGATTTGGAACAAACAGAAAAATCCAATACATCGTATTCACAAGTCCTGTTCCCCCGATCCGAACGAAGACTATTTATTAACCGTTTATCAGCAACAGGTTCCCTCTATCGCGGGATTTATTGATACTCCACGGGAGCCTCGGATAAACCCCTACGAATGTCCATCCCGGAGACATTGTGCTTGTCGTTCGTGGAAGGAACGTGTCGAGATAAAAGTGAAGAAGAAAAAAAAATACGCGATCTCGAAACCGCAGCTAGTCTACGCAAATCGTGGCTTTCGCAACGGTTTGTTATTGGGAACGAGCGTGCCGTGAATCCGTTTTCCCGACGGTTTCGCAGAAACCGTGTGCGAACGCGTCATCGACAAAAATCGAACTCCACGAAATTCAGTGGCCCCTCCGTCTTCTCTTGTGACCGTTAATTGTATCGTATTATACGAAACGAGCCTCGAAACTGGCGTCCCGGAGGCCAGTCTCTCGGAAACCATTAGGTATGACGACAGTAATATGTCTTTTTCTTTTTTTAATGTTCGGCTATCCTAGAAATCGTGAACGCCTGTTTTGACGATTATTACGGAGAAATAGTTTTTAAAAACGATTGGGAATAACGACACGATTCTCTCAACTGGACGATAAACTATATTCGAAATTGACGACCAGATTTCTGAAATATTGTGACAGTAATGTCTCGATGAGTACCCCTAATAAATTTGTTTTTTACCCGAAGCCGAGCCTCTGCTTAGCTTCTGTTTCCTCTGTTTTGATTAATCCCAGAGGACTCCCACATTGGTTGGATTAACGCCGGTGCTAGTGTTGCATTCATCGAGGAATCACTGTACACGGGATTGTGGACCCTATTATCACGTGTTACTATTAATGTATGTAAATCATCTGGCAGAGAATTCAAAATGCAGCTTCGTTTTAATTTTTAGGCATTAGTATATGAAATTGTGAATTTGCATAAACTTCCTCAATCTACTCGTAACATTTATTACCAACAGAGTATACTAATATTTATTCAGTACAAACGACTCGAGTGTGTACAAATAGTTTTCGTATACACACACACACACACGCACACTCGATTGTCGAAGTTAACGATGATTGAGTGATTGTGTATATATGTATATATATACGCAATAGAAAATTGAACTGTCAAAGGCAGAAAGGAATTCTGCGGCTCTCCTCGAGCTTTCTGTCTGCCCGCAGCAGCCGGTTCCTATTCATAAACGCGAATCAATACGAGCATCATTATCCTCGGCGAGTCGGGATTGCGGTGTGATGCCAAGTCTATCGCAATAGTACGTCTCGCAGAAGTTATTTCGCCGGTGGGGGGAACGACGTCGATAACCTTTTACCGCGTAAACCGCAAATTTATTGGCCACCGGGTGCTGTGCATCCAGGCGAACCTCCTGGAATGAACCGCCGTTGCGCAAAACCCCCTGAATCGTTTCGAGAGACGAACGAACAAAAGAAGTAAAGAAGAAAACAAGAACGAAACAGGGGGTTGGCTCGTTATTCCGCGAGAGAGCTGCCATTTGAAAGCGCTGGTAAATAATTCATGCAACCACTCGTTCGTCACTTAGAACGAAGAAAAAAAAAAAGAGTGAAAAAGGGGGTGGGGGAGCGAGAAAAGTTTTGTTTACTGGGGGGCAGATAGAAACCGAGTCGTATTAATTATTCGGCAGGACCAGTGAGAAAATCTATGTCGTCTTAAACAAATTTATTTATTAAAGAATAGATACAATCATTCTTTCTTTAGTTAGTAATATTAGTAGATATTTTGTTTAAGTACGGATTATTGTGAATACTCGATGAGATTGTCGATCGTATACGAAACCGAGAACGAACGGAGTTATTATCCTGGAAATAAAATTTATTGTATTTAACCTTCGAATTGGGATTACTCAGGTTCCATTCGTTAAAATTCCGACCACGTTTCCTCATTCGTTTTACGATCGGTGGAATCGATTCACACCATGAACCGAGGCGGGGAAAACGAGGGAACGGATATTTTACGTTCCCTCTGTCTGACCACCACGGTCGCTTAATTAAAACGCTCCGCCGCTTTTTCTTCGCGAGTACCGAACCGCGCTACGACTGAGCACTTAAAAGACCGTCTCACGCCTAATCACGAGCCAGTCGATCAGCCCTTTATTCTGAAAACAACACCTGAAAAAGAACAAATTTCAAAAGTTTATCAAATATATATGTAGCGCGTTAATTTCCACATTTACAGAATTTTCTCCAAAATGGAGGTTCTGTATGCAGGGATGCTAAGTCTGGAGACCCAAAATCACGATATCGAACGATCGTTTCCCTCGATAATCCTCGATATTTTCAGCCCCAAACGAAAGAAAATACCATACATACAAGAAACGTATGCTGGATCGCGTCGCTAGAAAACCAGTAGAATCGAAGAAAGTGGAACAAAAGTTCCCCAATTCGGGCCACGGGATTATTTCCCTAGTCATTTCGGACGATCACGGACGACTTTCTCGTGGGATCATTGTAAAGATCGGTCCCACTGCGGAACGGACGCGTCTTGTTTTCACGGAAAAGTGAGGAATATCGAAACCGAATGGAATTCGTGTGAATGGTCCCCACTTGGTTCTATCTGGGGGGGATCGAGTCCTTACCATCGGGTGAAGAGGGGAGGAAGCTTTAACGTTTTACGACGTGGAATAGATGGCAGCACCGTACGGATGGTGAAAGTCCTTCGGCGACGAGGAAGGAGTGGTGGTGCACATATAGAGGGGCGAGAGGGCGCGGCTTGTCCAGACACTCTTTGTCCTGACGCCGACGATGACGGCGACGACGACCACGACGACGTTCACCATGTCGCCGAGGTTCCTGTTCCTTCTTGGATCTCTGATTCTGCTTGCTGGTGAGTACGAGAACAAAAATTCATTATCTTCCGGCGAACCACAATCTACCGGTTTCGAATCTCGCGCGAACGATCCGTTCTTCCCCTTCCCTTCCCTCTCCCACTCCTCCCCATCGCAAACTATGAAGATTAATTTCGAATATTTTCCCGTCGAGTAAACGTCTTCCATCCACAAGTATTTCGGTTAGTGTACGATGTTATACTTTCATTTGAAATTTTCCGCCATTTTTGCTTCGAAGTCCGAATCGTTCGAAAGTGTTTTATCGCTGTCCGAATTAATCAGCTTACGAAACTGTCTGTTAACAGTCTTCTCGACTTGGCATGGAGCGTTTGTTATTCAGTGAAAGTTATTCGAAAAGATTGAGGATCTTTCTTGGTCGGGTCCTCTCTCACTCTCTCTCCCACCGAAGACGTGTATATACCGCTGTTTAGCTTTCGATCCTCTGTTTACCGGCGGTGAAAGTTGTTTTCGACGTTTAAGGGTTCCCACGCGATCTCGCCGAGTGGATGTCTATGAACTTTCGGTTTGCTGAAACCAAAGATGTTTCTTCCCCAAGAAACTGCGATGTTTCTATTTAATTTCCGATAGTTAGATTTCTTAAATACAATTATTTCCTTATACTTCTATAGTTTGGTGAATTTCTCTAAACTGTACAAATATACAGTGTGTTTAGACCGATATCACGATTTACTGGAAAAAAAAAACGAAAGCCAAAAAACACAATTCTGTCGGCTTTGTAACAGTCGACTGCGTGACGTGTGCTCGGCGCGCTATTTAAGGTGTTCGAGTGACTTCAACGCCCGGATAGGAGACACGTTAGGCTACAGTTTTAATCGCGTAGTATGGTCGCATCGCTTCGGGCCTTCTGTTCCGCCAAATTCGTCGTTTTCTCGGAATGCTCGAACAATTTATATCTGACGTAACATTGGTAATTTCTAAATATTCGAAGAATGCAAAAAACATTCCTTATTGTATATAGTAAACACCCCTTTTACCTTACGTCGATGAATTTCTACCGAATGAAATTCAGAAGCCATTGCTTCGCGGATAAAATCTATTAAAATTCGATTAGAGTGGCCAAAAAAGAACGATAGTTCGCGACAGACTAAAGCAGTCGATAGAAGGGTAAAAATTTCTTTGTGTAATCGAAGTCCACGGTGACATTTGTGAAGAAATCCAACATGGAAGTTTGATCGAAGACGCTAGAACTGGCGGGGGACGGGTCGGGCCGGAAACCGTTGTCGATCACGATCAC